TTTATATATATAATTATTTTATTGAAAAGACTGGTAAAAATGTTGTCCAATTTTGAAATATGCTTCATCCAAGTCACTGGTGGCCTTTAAAAATTGTTAAAAGAATGATAATATAATATTTAGTTATAGATTTTCAATCAACCCATCAAAATCAATTTTCTTCATCTTCTTAATCAGATATTCAGAAACAATCCCATTTCAGCTCAATTCAGGGTTTGTTTTCAGGCAGGAATCCATGGACAGATTGATCAAATCAGACGTTCAAGAACTGAATCTGTTCTTCACCAAGGGCCAGAAATGCTCCATCACCTTCGAGTTAACCAATCTGATGCACACCATGTCCGTAGCAGTTTCTCTCACTACATCCAATCCATCAAATTTTTCATTTTCACAGTGTTTCTCTCTCATCCCACCTCTCTCAACTGCGTCTTTCACTGTCTTTCTGAATCAGCCGTGCGATCAGCCGCCGCTATCGATGCCGCCGGAGACAGTCCTTGTTCGATCATCAATGCTGCCGACCGGAAAAGCCCATCAGGATGATCTCCGGCGACTGTTTTCGAAGCCCGGACCGCATATATTCAAAGATGCTACGCTACCGATCTCATTTGTTGGACCCCATGTTGTTGAATTTCTTCTTTCGCCTTCAAACAAGTCCCTGGAAATGAATTTTCTGTTTTCAAAAGCAATTTCTTGGTGTGATGACTCTCAGCTAAATTCTTTGCTGAGATTTGCTGCAAAGAATGGGAATTCATACGCCGTTTCGGGCCTGGTCGAGGCTGGCGCAGATGTAAATGAAAGGGATTTAGAGGGAGAATCTGCCTTGTCCCTGGCTGTTAAATCTGGAAATGTTGATTCTGTTCAGGTTTTGATTGAATCAGGTTCTACAATAGACAACAAAATTGACAGATTTTTACACGAAACTGCAGCTTCGGGACAGGTTGAATTAATGGAAGTCTTGTGTTTAGGCTATGTGGATATCGAGTTGAATTCGGTAAATTCTCAAAACCAAACAGCCCTTCATGTAGCAGCAATTCATGGACATGTTGAAGCACTTCAATTTCTTCTTTCTATAGGAAGTGATCCCGATATTACCGATTCTAATGGATGGACGCCGCTCCATTTTGCTGCACGCGAAGGGAGTGTTGAAGCAGCCGAATTCTTGCTAAACCACTCGTTTTTCGCCAAATATGCTTTGACTAAAGAAGGGAAGACCGCCTTTTCTCTAGCGGTCGATAAGGGTAATTCACACCTATATGATATGTTACAGTTAGGGGACATGTTACATAGGGCTGCAAGAATTGATGATGTTCATACTATGAAAAGTTGTTTAGCTCAAGGGGGAAAAGTGAATGGAAGGGATCAATATGGCTGGACCCCTTTGCATAGAGCTGCTTTTAAGGGTCATATTGAAAGTGTGAAGATTTTGGTTAGCCATGGGGCTCGGGTTGATCTAGTCGATGGCACTGGCTATACTCCCCTTCTACGAGCAGTCGAGGCAGGACATGTACAAGTTGCAATGCATCTTTTATCTCATGGAGCTAAGGCTAATCTGAAAAGTCTTAAAGGAGTTGTTCCTTCTGATTTGGAATGTTTCAAGAAGTACAATTCTCTTGTAAATCCTTTAGAACAAGAGGAAGGGCTTAAACTTTGATGGGATTGGATACTATTGAATGGTAGTAAAGAAGAAAAGTAAGTAAAAATCTTGTGTAATATACCGTCTAGTCCCTTTCATCACTGCATACAAAGCACGATCAAAGAAATATGTGTATATATTTTTTGTGATTTTCTGCAATGTTCATAATGGCCCTTGGAATTAATCTTCAAATTCGGTTCCTTGTATTTAATGAGATTGATCAGTTTTTCATCTAAATTTTGGTCATTTTCATGTTCATATGCATCAATTTGTTCCTCTACTTCAGTTTGTTACTTAGCCATTGTTTGATTTTTATTTTTTGAGAAGTGATTCTTTTTTAGAATGTTTGATTAAATAGTAGGAAAAAAGATTTCACGTATAAATTTATTTTCTTGAGAGATCTAAAATGAGTTTGAAAAAAATGCAGATACAATTTATATTCAAAGGGGCTGTCTGTTTCCAATTTTACTTAAGATTTTAATCATTTTTAAAACCATTAGAGCCGCACTTGTTGACTCCCTCTTCACATTGGTGGGACCCGTGTTGAATTTAACGGTTGAAAAATCAATGTTTTGGCCCAAAAAATTGCTCCCAGACAGAGCCTATGTCTTTAAGTTTCGACCTTCAATTTGTAAAACTTGAGTCGGACTTCATCCTTTTCAAATGTCATGTGGTTAACAATAATCTAGAATAAAAATATATTGGGTAGTTGAGAACACTCAATATACTAATTTTTCTTCTCCCAACCACCAATCCACCCGGTCGGCACATTCGCTTGCTCTCGTCATCCCTACCCTACACATCGAAAGGTAAGAGAGTGCACTTAGCCTTAATTGGAGGGGTCCAACAGGGTTCAAAAAGAAAATGAATTTTCCTTTGTTTTATTTTAAATATTTAACACATTTTTAGAAGCAAATAGTAGTTAGGGAGTAGTGAAGGACGCGTTTGTTAAAATCTCTGATGTGTTAAGAAATGAAAAAATAGAGAGCGTGAAAATTGTCCGATTCATAACCATAGAGAAGGTCAAAAACACTCGTATGCAATTTGAACAATGAATATCATCAAATTGTCACATCGATGTTCAACAAATTTATAAACTAGTAAGAAAATAAATGGGGATTCTTACTTGAAATGAATCAGTCTCTTTCGATGACACGAGTTTATCTGCCTATATGAAACCCGCCAAATTTTATTAATGTTTTAAAAGTAGTAATATATTATATATATGCACTTGATGAATAAATGAACTAGTATATAAAATATAATTTAATTTAATTCATACCTACGTGAGCGTATATTGTAATTTTCCTTTTAAATTTCAATTGATGCTCCATTTTTTAGACATTTAATCAACCCATTTCACCAAAATGATGCATCTTTCACATCATATTACCCGGTCATTTCCAACTCATTACACAAAATGTTACGCATAAAAAAAATTCCCTTTCTTTCTTTATTTTATAATTCTCAACAATTAATTTATTGTATATTCAATAATAATTATTCATTACTTGATTATAATTTATTATAAATATTAATAAAATACTAATTAAACAAAAATAAATATAAGTAAAATTAAATCATCATTAAGTAATAAATGAATATAATATTAATTAAAATTTTATTGTCACAAATGAAGGATAAAATAAAATAATTAGAATTGTATATACAATACCAATTGAAAAAGGCTACAACTATTCGTTACTTTAATTTGGTGTAAATAGATACTGTCCTATTGAAGCACTATTTTGACGATCGATTGGAGTTGCTCTAGCTGACCTACTATGTTCTCCATTGCCCCACCCCACTTTGCTCATACTTTTTTCCCTAAACTCCTTGCCTTCTTTACTTACTTCACCCCATTTCGGAGAAATTTGGGTTGGGGGTGGTCAGGGACGGACTCGGCGTAAAAATTCAGTTTTGACGGACGTTGACCATTGACCGTCAACAATCAGCGATCGTAAGAGCGATGTCGTTTATTAATATTTAACCATTTGTTATAAACATTTATTATTAAATAATAACCATTTAGAAATTTTATTAAACTTAAAACTTAATGACATTATAATAAACTAAAATGTAAAAATGATCCATTATTTCGGCAATCATAAAATTACTAAGAAGTATAAAATTTCAAATATTCGTATTCTTACTCGTTACAGATGAAGTACAAAAATAAGTAAATTTCAAGCTTAGCCAATAAAAACCATTGTTATGTTCCTCAACTACTTTCAAGGGAAGGAAAAAAATAAAATAAAATAAAATAGAGAGGGTCAAATATAGAAATTTTCAAGAGAAATCAACTTAATTTTTTATCAGGAAATTATGTTAGGAAAAAAAGGGCGTCAAAGTTGTAATTATCAATCCAAATTAGCGAAAAATAAAACCATGTCTGTTGCCATCGAAACCATCAACTGACATCTGATCAAAGCAACCGCTACACTTCTCACTATCTATAGCGAAAAGCCAGTACGCCACCAACACAAAGGCCATTGCAACACTATCGTCATCGTGACTTGCACCTCTCACCACGAAGACAACAGAAACTGCATTACTGCTACCATATATCATTTTATTCATTTCATCAAAATTCTCTTCTTTTTGCTCGATTTCTCTTCCAATGGTGATCAAATTCTCCTAAAACTATTCAATTATACCATATACGTGATGATACAAAATATTTCATTTAATTGAGCCTCATTTTTTTAAAAAAGGCCCAACATCCTCAGCCGAAAACAAATGGGCAAAAAAAAAAAAAAAGGCCCACCTCAATTCCTCAACAGTATCCATCTTCTTTCTCAATCCTCCCCGTTTTCTCTATCCGTCTCTGTTCTTTTTGCCGCAGTCAAAGACTGGGGTGCGCCCGATGAAATTTAAGGCTCTGATGGATCTAGTAAGGACGACCACGCCCCCTGTCGGGTGTTGGGTCCGCCCCTGGGTGGTGGAAAGAGGAGTTCGTTATTTTTTCATTTCTCTGTTTAGCTCAAATTATTTGGCCAAAAGTATAAATATTCTAATTGTTATTTTCAAAAAATTTGAATTTGTGTTAGATAAAAAAGTCAAAGATGGTGACTGATTTGATTGACAAAGGTGCATTTTTTTCTACAAATGGAGCAAAAATGTGGAACAAACAAGCTCTTTTAATTTTGTCTATTTTACTTATCTTTTAACATAATTCGAATAAGTTAAAACTGACGAATATAAGTGACATACTTTTAGGCGCTGCATTTAACGCGCGAATTTTAATTTCAATGCACAATTCAAATTTAAAGCCCTCGTTTTCAATTTTCACGCCACGTCATCGATCCGCACCACATCCCAGTTCACCAATCAAATTCTAACACCCCAGTCAGCAAATTCCTATATAAACCCTGCGCACACCTCTCCGTCTCTTAAAATCTCGGCGCTTTTCTCAAAAATTTCGATTCCAATTTCATTTCCTTTCTAGGGTTTGCAGTAAAACACCAATCTTAAAATGAGTTCAACTGGCGGAGCCTCCACCAAGGGCGGCAGAGGGAAGCCAAAGGCCTCGAAATCCGTATCCCGATCTAGTAAAGCTGGCCTTCAATTCCCTGTTGGTAGAATCGCTCGATTCCTCAAGGCCGGAAAGTACGCCGAGCGTGTCGGCGCTGGTGCCCCCGTCTACCTCTCCGCTGTTCTCGAATACCTTGCTGCTGAGGTGGGTTAGGGTTTTTATTTGTTATCGATTAGTACGTTTTTTGAGTTTGGGATTTTAATAATTGTTTTTGATGATTTAGGTTTTGGAGCTTGCGGGAAATGCTGCCAGGGACAACAAGAAGAACAGGATTGTGCCTAGGCATATACAACTGGCTGTAAGGAACGATGAAGAATTGAGCAAGCTTCTGGGAAGTGTTACAATTGCAAATGGTGGGGTTTTGCCTAACATACATCAGAATTTGTTGCCAAAGAAAGCTGGAGGAAAAGACAAAGAGATTGGGTCTGCTTCTCAAGAGTTCTAGAGTTTTTATGTATCATTTTTGGCAGTTTTGATGTTCAGATGTTGGGTTGATTAAAGACTTCAATTTTATTTTTCTATGATACGGAACTTATTTATTAATGATCTGAGTCTATTTCTTAACGTCCTTAACCATATGCAACTCAAGAACTAGATGTTAGGCGCTTTTCTATTTGGGTAATTGCCTTGTCTGCAATGTGTGGATCGGTTTTGATTATCATTTGTCTTATAATTTATAAATAACTAATCTTTTAAATTCAGTTGGTTATGATCCTAATATCATTTTGTGCTCTGTTTTCAAATATTGAAGAGCGGTGAAGGTCGGTGCAGTGGGCTCGATTTTATTTGCCTGTGGTTTTAGTGGAACAAGGACCACTAGTTGTTAACGTTTGATTAATCTTTTGCTATATCTCAGTCCATGAAATCTATGTTAATAAATTTTTTAGGCAGTGGTTTCTTTGAGAACTTTATAGTTCAGTGTGCTGCTTGATGACGTTCTTCACTTGATAGAGCTGATTCGAAAGGGATGCCATTGCTGTGTGCTGATCTGATTTTTGCGCAATAAAAGAACAGTCCTGGGGCACATAGTATAATACTAAAAGGTTGTTTGGGAGGGATTTCAGCCCTTGTTTGGGTTATCTTATTTTTCATTAAAATGAAAAAAATGATCATTAATAATGATCGTTAATATTTAAATTTAAATTTTTATATTTTGTGTGGATTTTAATAATGGTTATATTTTTTATTCTCATTTTATAAGAAGGTAGCTTAAATAATAACTTGTTTGGGAGGGGTTAAAATTAGATTAAAATTGAAAATTTAATCGTTGAAGTTGACTTTTATTAGACATATGAGATCAAATAACGGCTATATTTCAATTTTAATTGGATTTTAATCCTTCCCAAACAAACTATAAGACTTTAATCTAATTATGATTGAAAAAATTGTCGTTATTGGATTTTTCTTATTTAATAAAAGTCAATAATAATGATTAGTTTTTTAATTTTAATTTCTTCCAAACAAGCTCTAATAATCAGTATGCATTGGTGTTTTGTCATGAATTGCTGAAGTTTAACTGATTTAGCCTCTGTTTGGTTCTGTTAAATTAATAATTTATTTTTCTCTATTTTTTTTATCTGTTAAATATTTTTTAATAAAATAATATTATTAACTTGTTTGATTTTTATTAGTGTAGAATGAGAATGAAAAATATAGTCGTTATTGGATTTCATACAAGAAATAAAAATGCAAAAATGATGGTTTTATATGATTGATAATGATCATATTTTTTATTTTTGTAGATAAAACATGAGAAACAAATGGGGATGTACATGTAAATTTAATTTTTTATTATTTTTTAATTGTACGTTCTTTAAAAAGTTATTATTCTTCTCATTATAACTCGAAAGGGAAATGTTAGGAATACATTGGGGGTGACATAAATGATAACATAATGTGAGTGAGGTGGGTCCCATGCTACAGTATACTGGGCTCCATCCCACTCACATTATGTCATCCTTTATGTCAATCTCAATATACAAGTAGATTAATCCAACTTGAAATAATGAAATTCAAACGGGCTTAGTTTAGGTGTGCAAAAAATTGCCAAACTGCGATATTAAATTGAAACTGGTGGTCTTGGTTTTAGTGGACGTCAATATTTCAGTTTAAACGAAACTAAAAATCATTTAGAAATGGTTTGATTTAAATAGTTGAAAATTGATTGAAATTGAACTGTTAATATTAACCGTAAAAAAATTGAATCGAGCAAACCATGTGTAATTTTAGAGATAATGCATTTTTTTGAAGTAATGTGATGGAGAATATGTGGTTGAAAAGGAAGAAAAAATTATTGATGTGATAAAAAATATTATTTTACTAAAGAATGTGTGGTTAAAAATGAAAAAATAATGCGGCCCAAACAGGGGCTTAGATTGGTAAGTTCAGGTGTTTGTAAATAAGTTGGAAGCTCAAACCTAACTACATAGTGTGAATCTGTGGTTGAAATAAGTAAATATGCATTTTAAAGGAAGACAAGCAGAAACATATAGATATGTTAGTAATTATGAACCAGCCGTGGGGATGTAGCTCAAATGGTAGAGCGCTCGCTTTGCATGCGAGAGGCACGGGGTTCGATCCCCCGCATCTCCATAATATTGTTGAATTTTCTCTTTATCCTCTGTACAGGTGATTCAACACTGCCCTCGCCCCCGATACGACATCTCAAGACTCTGCTAAGGTTTTGTTTTGTTTTTTTTTATTTGTCAATTCGTATCTACCATTTCTATTCGGAATTTCAAATTTCATTACATTTTTATGATAATCGACACAGGGACCATGACTTTCGGCGAGCAACAAAATACATTGCCAGAATCCTTGACAAGGCCTTAAATTCTGGAATCAATCTCTATGATTCTGGCGAAATGTATGGCATATTTTATTGCTTAATCTGTACATTTTAATGTGACATTTTTTTATTTTGGCTTCACCTTTTGTTTTCCGATTGTCAGCTATCCAGTGCCGCAGCGTGCAGAAACTCAAGGAAGAAGTGAGGAGTACTTTGGCCGTTGGATTTGAAGTCGAGAAATTTATCGCGAACATGTAATCATTGCTACAAAGGTCTTATTGGTTTACAATTAATTGGTTACAATGCATACTAGGGACCAGAATACTTAACTTTGAGTATTCTAAGTATATACGAAAAGAAAATCTTATAATTTTTTGTTGTGTGTATGATTGAGCTCACACTGAGCATAAATTGTATTTTTGCTATCTATGTGAGCTGACCTTGTGTTTAACTTCGAAGCTTCAGTGGATTCTAAATGAAGATTGATCTAGTGCCTTTTTGCATTTTATATTCAGGTGGCTTAAAATCTTCGGCGGCTGATTAAAAAGATGTTCTGAGAAAGCTCAACTCGTTGATGATGTACTCCACTCAACTTGTAGTCTTGATCTTGTAGAGCTGGCCATATAGAAATCTATGTTAATTTAGTCCCATTAAGAAAAAATTGCCCACAAGACTTAAATATGGATTGTAAGAAACTGGTATACTCACACGGGAGATGAGATAACACATTATATATTGGCAAGTATTGATTTTTCGATATCCCATACTACAAGTTAATAGTAAATGGTTGCTTAGAAGCACAAAGCCATTTACAATGAAGAGAAGAAACTAGTATACTCACACGGGGGATGAGATTACACATTATTTATTGGCATGTATTGATATTTCGATATCCCATCCTACAAGTTAATAGTAAATGGTTGCTTAGCAGCACAAAGCCATATACAATGAAGAGAAGAAACTAGTATACTCACACGGGGGATGAGATTACACATTATTTATTGGCATGTATTGATATTTCGATATCCCATCCTACAAGTTAATGGTAAATGGTTGCTTAGCAGCACAAAGCCATATACAATGAAGAGAAGAATGTTAATTATTGGCTTAGTTTTTTTAACCTTGAGGGATTGCTCAATTTGTCAGCATTGTGTTTGCTTTACAATGGTCACCATTTTGAATCTCCTCAAGGCCACTGACGTGAGTACCCGACCGTAAACTTCAAGTCCCGTGAGATTAGTCGAGGTGCGCGCAAGCTGGCGTGGACATCCACGTTTATAAAAATAAATAAATTATTGGCTTAGTTTCTCAAACTATATATTGATTATAATGGCATTTGATTATTTGCTTATCAATGAATTGGCTGCCTGAGAATACTTTCTAAATTTTTTTTTTTGAACGGTGTGGGGATAGGTTAGTGGACCATCTGGACAGATGACTTGGATTCATAATGGACCTGGGAGCCTGCCAGCTAGAATATAACTGAGGTAATTGACAACAGGTTATGCTGAACTTTATTTTTCATTTTCGTTTATCTCTTCCACATTTCACCTGTTGAATATGTTTCTTGTTTCACCTAAATTTCTGATTTTTGCTGATTTCTTCTAATAGGGGTCATTGCAGTTTTCTATCGTAATGCTTTGAATTTGAAGTGCTACTTTTGCAGTCTACAGTTGATTATTTAGTATTAACCTCATAAAGCAAAATGTATTGCAGTTTATTACATCTGCAAAGTGACTACATCGACTTGTATGAAATTCATTGGCCTGGTCGGTTTGTATGTCTGCTCTTATTATTATATCTTCAATCAGAGAGTAACAATTCCCTTTTATCCTTTTTTTCATATTAGATATAAATTTACATCTTTAGCAGCTGTGGGAATAACTTTGTATCTTCCAAAGAATTAAAATTAAAAACTATTCATGAATATCTTTTTCAACCTTCTCATGATTTTTCTTACAGCTATGTTCCTATGTTTGGAGAAACTGATTATGAGCAAACCCGAAATTATTCATCTGTGAGTATTGACGAACAACTTGGTGCTTTAGCCCAAAGCCATTGATGCTGGTAAGGTAGAGATGATATACAACAGTGTACTTTGTCGTCAGAATTAAATGTAATGGAACTGTATTTAATTTGTTGACGGAGTAAAGCATATCATTTGCAGATGAGATACTTTGGGCTTAGTAGTGAAACATCATATGGTCTTATAAAGTTCCTACACGTTGTGCAATGTGGATCTGCCCATCCCAGGATAGTATCTGTGCAGGATTTGTTTGGTTCAACTCCGATAAAAAATATTGAGGCTACTGCTGCTGCTTCTCTTCTTCATTGTGCTCTCTCCCTCTCCTCCACCTTTTATATATGATGAAAAATAAGCATAGCTGAGCATTTTTAGTTTCAGAACTTGTACAACCTGGCTCGCACATTTGATTCAGTGATGGCTGAATGATATCAATGTTTTCATGAGAGGTATGCACTATATTGCATAAATATGTTGATCAGCAGTCTTCCAATTTGAAATTATGAACTCCTTGCGGTCTATATCATGCATCACAATTATGATATGATGGTAAAATAGAATATCATGTAACAATTTTGCTGGTGCTAGTGCTGTTGATATGAGCCACCTGAATGGTTATGTGCCAGCAGGCAGC